AATCTAGTAACATCGTCAATTGCTCGCCGACTTGATTGCGGGGTGGTGGGGTCGCCATGAACCAAACACACTCCTACAATGTTACCCACCATTGGAGATTAAACAACCGAACTCCAATGAGCATCCTGCATCAAAATCAGTGTATAGCCTGTATAGCATTGCTCCTACAATCGCCGTTTCTGCATTTTTCCCGCAATAACTCATGACTCGTCACGTAGAAATTGTTCATGCCAACGCGCACCTAAATGCCCTCTGATGCGGCTTGCCATTCCCGCAACCAATCTCCACAAATCTTGCCCAAACAACTCCAAACGAATGCAAATGAGCAAATAATCTTTATATAAAATATACTTAGATATATATATATACATGTAAATATGTGCTGTTTTTCTAAATAAGAGGTGGTGTTATTAACAGTCGCAAGCCGGGTGAAACTCCGCAACTGCAGATATTTCTACTCGCTGGCTAAAGCCTCTGCATGCCTCTGCGGTCGCGCGCAGAGAAACGCATGACGACTCACTTCGGGGGCCCTTGGACCGGCACGCGGAAGTCACTGGCAATTCTGACCAGCTTCAGGAATTCTCCATCGAAGTCGGCCGCGCCAAACTTGCAAACCGAGCGGAAAGAAACAAAACTACAGTATCCCCTCGGATGACCCTCATACATGTTTTCCAAATGTTGCAAGGCATTGGTTCAAACATGTTCCAACACAATATCATTGGAAGCAACTCTCTCTCTCTCTCTCTCTCTGACAACTCAGGTTGTCTTTGACACCCTTTCCGCCCAGAAATGCAAACCAAACCGGAGATGCCAGCAAAGAACAAAACTATCCTCGCATATCTAGTCGGGGGCAACAGCCGATTCAAGTGTCACAGAGAACACGTCTAGATATGTAAGCGTGATTTGGTTTTGCAAAAGTTTTAGCCTTGCCATCCGGACTCATGCCTGTCAGTCTTAACACAATCGAAACTGTTTACGCCAAGAACATTCTTCAACCATGGGGTTCATGGCAAACAGTACTCAGTGTACACTTTTCGCGCCACCCATCAAGACCTTTTGAAGGAACCCTCGTAAGTCCACATCGAAACTGTTTGACCAATGTTTGCAGGTTAGCCAGGTTCATTCACCCAAGAATTCTTATCGCTGGTGGTTTTTTGTCCTCATCAATCTGTTCTTGTTGTTTCACTTTCGGTGCCTCCCACAACTCACGGTACCGCTGCGCTGAAGGATGGCCACCACACAGGTGCCTCGCGCAGCGCCTGCGCGGAGGGTCCAGGATCCGCCACCGTCGCGGGTCACAGGTTGGAAGTTGCTTGGGTGTGGTGGCAATATGCACCACTCGTTCCTGAAAAAACACGTTGGGTTTGCAACTAAGTGTGGCAGATTTGAACACATGTCAATCCCAGAGAGATGATGGCTCAGTTCAACCCGTGTCGCCGATGCAAGCTACTTGATTGACCTCAAGGCAGGTGCCTTTGCCAGCGGGCGCCGCTTGGGATGGGGGAGCCTCTCAGAGTTGAGTTCCCTGCGGGCTCAGCAAACCCCAACGTCGCTGATTGAAAAGATGTGTCACACACGTCGATCCAACGGATGGTCACAGGGATTCCATTAGATTGGTCGCGGAAACGCCAGGAATTTGGGCTGGCTCTTGGAGACCTACCTCGACGACAAAACATCCAGGACACACCATCACAACACGTATATAGTTTTTGGGTCCGGCGCCAAATCAAACAACACACCAAGCCCCACACAACAAGGCCAGCGAAGCATATACAGTAGAAATCAAAAATCAATGTGTTGGATGTGCGAGCCGTGCTGATTCTAGCATGAAGAAGGCCAAGGCTTCAGCCAAACACCCCAGCCGATGGAAGGGAAACAGGCAGTGAACGGGTGTGAAAGACATTTGACTCACACCCAGGCGGAATCCAAACCACAAGGACCAATATCACCCTAAATGTATCACAAAAAACTGGTGCACGAGTTGCCTACCTTCTGGTACTTAGGGCTCCTCACAAAGACACAAACAGAAAAAGAGAGAGAGAGGGAGACAGTATTGGCATGCACGAACCCAAGCAAATTCAATGTGCCAACTTGGTTGGACATCAAGGCAGCACGTCGACATCGGGGCCATCTACAGCTACGGTTGCCATGCGTTCACCTAAAGCAAGCCTAGCCATCCTTAGCCGCATTGAAGCCCGAATGCACAGCTGTCGCTAGGGGATGTTGCTCAAAGACTGGGTCAACGCCAGTGTGGCGAACCACACGCCGCACCACCGAGTGAACGACGTGGATCGGGGCAATGGATCTTGCAAAAAAACAAACATCCACTTGAATAATGCGGCCGGGGCAGGCATTCTTCAAAGGAACCTGGAACGTTATGTCCTTGCAAACCTTCCGGCGGGGGGCGGACTAGTGACTAGCAGCATTGAGCAGAAGGTGATTGCGCGTGAACCCACCACATGAACCAAACCAAATAGCTACAAAATAATGTATTTGCGGCAAGCCCTCTCGGTCACAACGCGCAAAGCTATAGAAGCTTCACAGGACAAGTTCCAACAAGTGCCCTGATCCACACGCAGCTAGGTTTCTGTCTCCCCTTGGCCGGCCGCAGTCTGTGTAGGGAATGACAAAAATCGCCACCCGGCAAGCCGACCGCAAGCACTGCGGGAGGTCCCTGGGCAGAGTGCGCGGCCTGCGCGCAAGATTTTTATTGATGGGTTAGTTGCCTCCAGCACAAGAGCATGCGCGGCAGTAGCTGGACATGAGATGGAGAAGGGGGCTACACGAAGGTATCTTTTGATCCGGCCTATCCAAGGCCTGAAAGATACTGAAGGCCCAAGCTGCAATGATAGCACACCACACACACACACACACTCAGGACAACATACGTACGGTCTGATTGCCACAGGTCTAGAAGAAGCCTCGGCAAAGTCAGGTTCCAAAGGCATGTTCAGTCTGAAGGTTCCAAAGCATTCCGAAATACAAAGCTCCAAGAGTCACAGCTCCTAACCCGTTACTGCAGCACGACCTCACCAAACCGGGAAACAACCTTCGAGACTCTAGAAGTGGACCGTTGTGATCAAACATCACAAACAAAAGCAGGTACAAGAGTTGGGGCCCCAACTCTCTTCCAACTGATTTCCGTAGTTTCGTTGGCACGGATAGGAAATCACACTCGACACAAAGCCACGCGGATTCCATATGATGCAAACACGAAGGGGTCGCTCGCAAAAATGCTGTGCTGCGCCTGCCATCAAGCACCAGGATGGGGACCCTCAAATAGTACAACCTGTCACGCAGAGTTTGAGGCCGGCTCCTGTCTGATCAACTCGACCATATGACGTATCTTGACTTGGATGATCCATGACGAGCTGGTCAATCCAAGGCTTCAATTGATCTGATTTGGCCCGAATTGATGCATTTTTCCTGGTTTTCGCGGTTTGGGAACTGTCAGGTGAAGGTCACACACTGGTGCTGCCCACGACGTGGCTTCGAACATGTCGAGACATGTGGCAAGTACACACGCAGGGCATCTTCGGATCAACCAACTTGAATATCAAAGCGAAAGTGTTGGCAAAGGGATCAGGTTGGGCTGGGGACACAATTAGCTATGCAGGAAAGGCTGGAATCGTGCTTCGCCATTTCTGACATGTTGTGTGCCGCAAGCAACCGTGAAAACAGTGACAGTTGAATGAAGTTTGCTCCCAAACTGAGAAGGAAGCGGAAGAGATATGCATGTTTCCGCTGAACAACTAAACACTAAAAACTAAAACTAACATTGATTCAATACTGTCAGATGATTCCGCCAAAATCAACATTGCAACAAAAACGCTGTAAAAAGAAACTTGGCCGGATTCCACATAAAACAAAGACGGACAACATCAACATCGAGCTCCGAAGTAAGTGGCACCATACAGTGGTGCATGATGCCTAGCAGCCTAGCAGAACCATTCGTACAGTGAGGGTTCGTTGCAAAACAAATTGGACGAATTTCAAGCACATGAGCCCCTTCGGACACTACCCGCGTGCCACCTAACAATTCGATACAGTCTGCAGTTACAGAGTCTACTGCGTCACAGGCTATAAACCAGACATGTTGCATGCTGCTTCAAACACTATAGTGCCGGACTTTTACTTAGAAACCTGTTTGTTTTCCAAAACTAATTTTCCCATGGCATAGAAACACAGAGTCCATGCAAAAGATCACCACACTTAGAACCCCTGAACGCAAGAAGACACTTAGAAACTTCCTGAAGGATATTGATAAGTTTTGTCCACTTAAATATATGTCCGGCACTGCTAAGGGAAACACACTTAGAAAGCACATTCATCACTTAGAAATCTTGTGGTTTGATTAGAACATATATGAACAAACCATGTTGAGCTGAAAGGAGTGATAACGCTCCTCACTCACACAGAAGCAGCACCTTCCCTTAGAGATTAGAAAGGGTAAACAATTATGTTTGAACCTTCACCGCTTCTGAAAACCACAGACTCAGAAGTGTAGCTTTTACGGAAACAAGACAGCCACTACAACTGTTATGGCACTAAAGCGGCACGTTTTCTTCTGGGCATAAGCGGTGCAAAGAGCACCTCGGTATATCTGTGATCTGCAGGCTGTGGACTGTGGCGAGATAGAACGGTTTCCTTACAACAGACGGTGTTTCTATGTGTTTACAAATTGAAGGTACACTATTGAAAGTACACTTGCAACATTTGCCACTTAGCCCATCGGGAATGCACCTTTTGTGCATGTTTTTGCTTGCAAGTGGAGGGTCCAGGCAATGCCAAAAAAGGTGGTACCTACCGGCATTGGAGACAAAGAACTCTACTATATTCTACTGTTTGTTGTGCATTGCATACCCACAAAGCAGAGTGAGTCTGGCAAAAACACGCAAAAACACCTGTTCAACCGTGTCATTGCCTGGAGTTGGATTGAGCCTGCAATACCCTAGCAGGCTATTGACTGCTATTGACAACAACGATCGGGTTCTAAGTGTGTGTGTCTACATCTGTACATTCATGCATTGCATGCGGGCACCCGTGCATCACAACTGTCCAGTTGCTAGCTCTGCTTCCAGGCGGTCCAACTGCCGCCTCCACACCACATCCTTGGGATGTGCAGTCACGTGTGCGCGCAGGACTGCTTTGATTGCAAGGATGATGGCTTCTGCCTCTGTTCGCTTTGTAGATGAACCCCATTTGGCGGACATGCCACCACGACAGCAAGGGTAGTGCCCCTCCCAAACTTGGGTGGAGCTGTGGTAGGAGATGAAGCAATTCTTAATGTGCCTGGGAAGGTCCGTGAGCCCTTTGCGTTCCAAGGCCAACCATTCAGGTCGCAGGTGAAAAGTCTTCACTTTGTGCACCGGCACACTGCAACCAGCAGGAATGGGAACTTCATCGTCGGAATCTGCAAGGATGAAGAGCGCTTCTTCCTCATCCCTCTCACACTCCATGTTCACCTTCAGCCTTTCATCTTCCAGGGCGTAGGCGTCCTCTTCTCGACCTCCCTCTTCCATATCAACGCTGCCCTCATCCTGCTGCTCTTCCGGCTCATTGTTTGGATGTGTTGCCACCTCCCCCTGGGTGACTGGGTGATCCAGAACTGAAGGAACCTCTGTGGCAGCTGCCTCCTGAGAGCAAAGCAGAAGCAGCCGATATGGAGTTGCACCAGCTTCCGCTGTTGACAATGTCAGCTGTGATGGCTCATCACTCAACTTCAACTCAAAGGACACGCAATTGCGATTGACCTGGCCTGCATCATGAATCTGCACTTGTCGCTTTTTGCAGAAGATGAGCCGCTGGGTGCAAGATGCTGCCCAGACATTGTACGATTGCTGCTGGGATGCTGTCAGCTCCCGACCCAAGATTGCACGGGCCTCAATCGCCTTTTGCCATCGGTCATGCTCGTTGACAAACCGGCAAACTCGCATTCCAATCTCACGGCCTATCCATTCTGGTAATCCAATGTGTGTGGATACATTGTCTCCAGTCTGAATTGCCCAATGGAAGCTTTTTTCACCTTCCTGAACTGGCAGAGCATCAGGAAACCAGACCCAATTATAGTCCGTCCTTTGTCCAACTATAAGAAGCATCACCACAGTCACAAAAAGAATGATTTTTTGGGGGGGATTGTAGGCTTGTAGGAGTCTGGAGTTTCTATGACAGAGGTTTCTAAGTATACTACACATTCCTTTTGCAGGGAAGCATCCAGCTGCTTCAACCGCATGTGCCGGACTGTGCCATCCTCCGCACCATCGAACTCGGGCAGTTCTGTCAAATGGCAAACTGCTTGCATTGATGAGCGGCAGCGTTGAAGCATGTTCTTCATTTCTTTCAAGTTTCCTTATGTAGCTCATCCCGCAAACCAAAAAACATGCCCTGGAAAAAACAAAACTTTGACATTCAAAGGGCCTGAAGCAAAGAATGACTCACACAAAGGTTTGACAAGCATCCCTCAAAGAGCCACTCGGCTATGTCAACATCAGTGCTGTAACCACGCTGGTACCATGCCAGCCAAATGAGTTTGTTGTACCTCAGCCATCTTCACACTTAGAAACCCTTGGGAACGGCTCCCCCGGAACAAACAGATCTGCATATTTGTTTTATTGATAAAATGCATACATATATACATATATTACTATGTTAGATGAATACTGCCAAAGTTTATACATGTGAAGTAAAGCGGCTTGTCGCTGGATAGCTGCTGCAGTGCCCACGCATCAGCACGCAATGATACCTCAATAGGACACCTTGGCGCCAGTATTCAATGTGGGTAACCATATACTTAGAAACATTCACAACTCATTCTCTACCATTTTGGGAAGTAAACAGAACAGCTGGATGCCAGCATACATTCATTTCAGATACAAAAGAAACTATCCTACATCATGTTCATCAGAAAAACTCCAAAAAGGCTCACTATTGGTCACCTGGGAACCTTGTCTGTGGCGTTGCTTGAACACTCATTTCCAGCTCATCTAGGCGCTTCCTGAGAAGAGGTGCTGATCCCCACCCAACTGCGCACCGGAGGTACCCTTTCGTGAGGGAATGCAATGCAGCATGCCATCCATCGTTAGGTCCAGCTGCCGCCCCGAATCCTCCCGGTATTGGCACTTCACTGTGACCACATAGCAACTCCTTGGTGAAAGGGCAGCACTATCAATGCATTTAACACAGAATTCAGTTACATGTTTCAAGCAAAAACAAAAGTTCACCTACACTTGGAAACCCATCCCCATGCTCCCCAAAGGCCCCAAAGTGCACTCAATGAAGAATGGGTGTCAACGTTGTGTTGCTGGCACCATTGCATCTGCAGCTTCTGAAAAGTGGTGGACATGTGGGCACCAGCCTGGTCGCACATAATGAGTGCTCGATGGCAATGCTTGAGGCCAAGTTGTACACGTCGAACTCGCAGTTCCCCGGCTAAAAAGTCCAGGTACCGAATCATAGTGGCTTCATTCCAGACGTGGCTTTTTGATTGCGGCTCCTCAATAAAGAGGTATTTCTCGAGTTCAACGTTGGCCTGGTTGCGCGCTGCATCTGAGATACCTCCTTTCCTAAACGTGACATAGGCTCTGCCGATGAACCCATCTATGAATGATAGAGTTGTGAGGCTGCGGGGTTGTCTCCACTCGCTGACTGTGCAGGAAGCTGCTGCTAAACCAGTCACTTGAGGGATAGATGGGGTATCCTTCACGGGCCCTCTGGTAGGGTCTGTCTCCGATAGAGGTAGTTCAAGGGAGCGCTCAATTTGATGACGGACCTTCCTCAAATAAGTGCTGCGGCAAAGTGGATCTTTGGCAATGTTTCTCCATGATGCAGCCTTTTGGAGCGTTTTCTGCTGTGGTCTGTAGATTGTCGACCAAACCTGGTCAAAATTCCCTATCAATCGAGGATGGCATCCCTTTTCTCGAGCGGTGTGCTGAATATAAGACCTTACTTTCTCCAGCAGCGGGTTGTTGAAATCCAGATGTGGCCCTGGTTTGCTATTGCTAACCGCACGGATGCCAAACTTGGCACATAGGCGTTGGGCCCGTTTCCTTGGCAAGCAACAAGAAGGTGTGGCAAGCAGCAAGAAGGTGGGCATGCCAACCTTGATAGCAATGGCCTCCCGGCCTCCCTTCTAATAGCGATGGCCTAATAGTAATGGCCTCCAACCTACGCAACCTAATAGCAATGCCTCCAACCAAATGGCAACGGCCTTCAACCTAATACCAATCACCTCCAACTTAATAGATCTTAATAGGAATGGCCCCCCTTCTAATAGCAGTAACCTCCAACCTAATAGCAATGGCCTCCAACCTAATAGCAATTGTCTTGGACCTAATACCAATCACCTCCAATTTAATAGCAATGGCCTCCCTTTTAATGGCAATAACCTCCGACCTAATAGCAACGGCCTCCAACCTATGTATATAATATATATATACACAAATCCCTCTTTCAGTTAGGGGTCTGAGGCTCTGAGGTTATGGAACATACTTGCATGCTTCCCTTAGCAACACTTAGAAATGAAGCAAGCCTGCGCCGAGCCACAGCAATGCAGCATCTGTGTCTTTCAGGTGGACCGGTCTCATCATTTGCTGAGCTGCCTTGAGAACAGTAGCAAACCTCCCATTGAGCTCCGTTTCAGAAAGGTCAGCCAAGTGCGAGTCCTGTTGCTTCAGCATGTCCCAAACATTGTCCCGGAGCAACTGCTCCATGGTGCTGATGCATTCATTCCACAGCTCTACTGCAAAGCAAATGGTTTGGGAGGCAAATGTCATAGTCATTTCTTCACCTCTCACGATTCGATCCATGAGCATGTCCTCGATGCATATCTCAAGCGGTGGTGGCAAATGGACCTGCTCCCCGTTCCCACTTGCGACATGATTGTGCTTCAGACTGCCCAATTGCAAAATCTTCCGCAATGCATTGGGCAGTTCTTTGTGACGCTTGCACAGTGCCGGAGCTGTTTTGCACAGCAATGTCCATGATTGCGCTACCCTGATTGAACCCCACTTGGTCTTGCACATGCAGCCCTTGAAGTAGCCGTGCATTGATTTCACCTGTTTCAAGGCTTGCTCATCACCAGCACCCTTGGCCTTCTCATAGGCCTGGAAGATTTGCTCCTTCTGATAAATGCTGGTCATTGTTTTCTTTCCTTTTGCTTTGTGGTTGCCTCTTCCTCTTCTCTTCTGAACCAGCTCTTTGCGCACCTTGCGCAACCAGGCTTGCTTCCCCCGACACCGGTGCAGCACAGAACCTTGATACTCAACCAGTCTTGGCTCATTGGTTGCGCTGTCTTTGGCCATTGCTGCCGACAAACTCTGGGTTGAAGGATGTGGCAAACACTGTTGGCCAGCTTTCTGCTGCAGGGACGCTGCCTCTGGGGATGTGCAGGCAGTCTGATCTCTCCAAACTTTGCAGCATACAAAGCTGGTGATGGTGACAGCTTGCACGACAGTTCCGGTAAAACTATTTCCTGCCAGGCTTTGTGCAAAAGGCTTCTTTTCTAGCATCTTGTCATAGCTCTCCACATTCTCTGCATCAGCCCTGAAAATTGCTTGCGCGTTCAAAAGCTCAGCGGGAAGTAGGTATCGCTTGTAAAGGGCACTGTACACATCATGCGACGGCGTTATGCAAGTTGTGCCCTCCAGGTTTAATTCCAGCTTCCGGGATTCTGAACCAGATGCATCAAAGAAGACATTCTGAGTTCCCGCGGCCTTGGCTGGAGCAACACACCAAGAGAAAGAATACTTGGAATCTCAAGATAACCACAGGGGCTGCCTTCATGCATACATACAACTGCATAGATGGAAATAAACAGCCTATGGATGACACTTGGAAACCTATATAGTCCTGACCAGTACTGTATTTGCATTTCTTGCAGTCTAGCAGCCTTTCCTTCTTCTAATGCCCGAGCTAGCATTTGTGTCTCTCTGTCTGTACGTGGTGGTACTTCTGGTGCATCCTGGATGAAGCATTCCTCCATGGGGAAGTGCAAGTCTGTCTGCAGGCTTTTCAATGTGGCAGCAAAGTGGGATGGAAAGTCTGCAAGACCAAGGCCCCTGTCAAGCTCCATACATGCATAAAGTCTGTTCCGCCGTTGCCGAACCACAAATTTTTGGCTGTCCACAATCTGTGATGCAACTTTGTAGCCAAGATCTGTCACATCAGTCTTTAATACCTCAATGAACTGTGCTACCCACAAAGCACCAGCCAATCTTTTTAACCCAACCATGCTACACTTAGAACCCGTCAGGAAACACCCTCTACTATTATAGCACAAAAAACTCAATAGCAGGTGGAGAGAAAAACTGTTGAGTCCAAGCTGCTTGCAGAGCTGGAGGGTGAACATTGCCATCATTGTCTCTAACAGGCTCAGCTGCTCCGCGGACATTTTCGTAAATAGAGACCAATGGATTCAGCCGCTCTATTACCTTGCTTGGCTGAGGTACACAGATAACAAACAATTCAGAACTGAACCACAGCCAGTTGGGAAAAAGTAAAACTAAACGGACTGTATACTTAGTATACAGAACATAGTTTGCTGAATTAATCAGGCCAAGAACTGCTTTGCAGCCATCTCTGTATGTGGTCCCGCTTGTGCCGAGATCTCCCTTGCCAGAATAGCAGCCAGCGTGGTTTGCACGAGAAGCTTTCAGCTTGCCTACAGGGCAAGCCGCTGAGCATCACAAACATACGGAAACTTCGTAGCATATAATATATATATATATCCTTCCACCAAGCATGAGATGTATCAAATCAAAGGCAATTGTTACACACTTAGAACCCCAACAAACAAAACATAAAAATGTATTTGATACAGATGAAGGACTGACATCTTTGCAAGAAGGTCCAACAAAATGAAGGTCCACTGCATGCATCTCCTTGGAAATCTTGTGGGTTTCATTGCATCTGTAGCAATACCCCTCCCCAATGGTGAAGCATGCAACATCTGCATAGAGATGCTCAACATCCTCAAATGACTGCAATAGGTAATTCCGCTTTCCTTCATCCAGCTCAGCGCTGAATACATGCCGCATGCCAATGTGAACCTTAGATTGCAAGGAATGCACGCGCAGCAATAAAAGACAGAGGCCCCGGGGATTCGTTTAATGTAAATTTCATATATCTTTATAATACACACACGTTACACGTTGACATCGCAGTCTAGCAAAAGCAACCAATCTGCCAGGCAGCATTGAACTCCCGGTTCATTTGGCGCAGCACACTCTTCAAAGCAATGATGCAAATGTCACTTCCTGAACATGTAGAACCAACTCGAATCTTCTTCCCATCCAACATGAGTGCAGTTTGGCGTAGAAGATCGTAGTCTGGACTGGATAGGAGCTTGAAAAAAAAACGGAGCTGTCTCATAGAGGGATGCTCTTTGTGGTGGGAGTATGTGCAGCCCGCTGGTTAGCATTTGGCGCTGGCATGCCCAGTGGCGATTGCGAAACTTTTGGGTGGTCAGTCGCACACGGATCCCTTGGTCAAATACCTTTATCATCCTCAGTGTCCATTTGCAAACGGTCTTTCCTGCCTGCAATGTGGCTTTCCAGTATTGGGCATCTGGGTCAAAGTCGCGTACTTTTTGCATTGTTTGGCACTCTATCACTTCAGCCACCCCAGTATAGACAGATTGGGAGCCCTTGTCTATAGATTCAATGATGTGGAACAAGGCAGGAAGATGCTTCAAAGGATAACCTCGATACAAGACTACCTGCTGCCCAAGGGCTGGAACTTGGTTGCCGCGCAGCATCAAACAATTTACCCATTCACTCGGATCTTCCTCTGCTGACATCTGTGGCAGTTGCTGCTGCTGCTCCTGTGGGCTATGCTTTGCATCTGACTGTGAGAGGACCAGCTGCTCCTTTAACTCTTGCAGTGCCCTTTCTCCTTCTGTCAGGATGCTCTCTTCTGACATCCTTCGCAACCGGGGTCGCCTCTCTGGCGGCTTTGGAATACTCAATTGCATCTCCACCTGAGTCTTCCGGTGTGCTTTCTTTGGAGTTTCTATGGCCTCTTCCTTAACTGCTGCGCAAAGGCGTCTTTTGGAGCCACGTGGTTCCAAGGATTCATTCTTTTCTGGCAGGCTATCTTCGTCTAACGTCAGATCAATCATCTTTGGCAAATCATGCCTGCTCCTTTTGGTGGGCCGCTGCTGCTCCTGCTTGATCTCTGCTTTGATTCCTGGCTGCTGCTGCTCCTGCTTGATCTTCAATGCAAGAAATTCTTGAAATTGAGTGCTAAGGCCTGCTGCCTTCAGTTGATCCAGCAGTTGCTGCGGGATTTCTTCAGCTCCATGTTGTGGGGCAGCTGTGCTTGCTACTGCTTGGGGCGCTAAAGTCCCTGCTGGCTGCTGCAGGTGCTGCTGCTTGCTAGCATTCAATGCTTGGGTCATCTCTTCATTGGTGCGGGACGGCCCTGCTGGCTGCTGTGTTTGAGATGGGGCTGCTGGCAGTGCTGCTGACATAGGGGCTGCTTCTGGTTGGGCCTGCATGGAAGAA